CAAAGCTGGAGATGGCAATTCTCCTGCTGTATTGATCTTGACACGACAAGCCCTCGTCTCACACGGAGAGAAATGTTACTGCTGTCAGAGGAGAAGCAGGCAGTGACTTTTGTATCTTCCTCTGGTAAAATAAACTCGGTTTATGGCACGGGGTCACTGCTGTGGGAATTGCAGAGACGCCGGAGTGCTGTACAACACTCCCCTCTTGTGCTTTCTCTCGTTACAACACTTTGTAAACCGCAGCGTTCCCAGATTAACCATTTTACAGGGATGATTCCCTCTCTGAGCATGAATCCTATCCTTGAACAGCCGGTTTCCTCAGCGGGAACTGAACAACACTAGTTGATACACACACATGCACTTTGGTTTTACCGAGTTCCTCTTTCTCTGTGCCTAAAACCTTGTATAATTTTTATATGGTTCTCTGTGTGGTGCTTCAGGAAGTTGGACAGACCTGGTATTCCCACCTCTGCCAGCACGTGTTGCATTTCCTCTGTAAACACAGAGTCCAGTGCAGAAATTTCAGACTGGCATGTACGTCTTTGCTTTTATCTTGTATTTATTGGAGCTCCTGGCCACTATCTCAAAGCTGTCCCTGAGCCCAGATGGGCAAATCCCCAGGAAGGGGGACACCTCCAGGGCCATAACACTGGCAAGGCCCACAAAAAGCTTCTACTTGCCTACCTGAAAAAGCAGACTCCAAAATATCTCATTTTTTTTTGACCTGGAGAAGTGGGAAAGAAAAAGAGACTTAATTTTATTACTCAGAGCTCAAATAACAAGGTCACTGTTACATGATGAATAACTTTTTTAAAGAATCATTGCTGACAAGTGAAGAACAGAGAACGTTTTATTTCTGTGTCAAACACTCATGTCACACTATTTCCCCTTCTTTGAGGAAAAAAAAAAGCTTCTTTGTCAAGCTTCTCCTACATTTTATTGCCCAGATTAAGTACAGCTCAATATTTTGTTCCCAACATCATTATTTCTGATGCAGCTGGGATGTCACTTTATTACAACAGGGAACATGGCATGTTTAAGGTGTTCATTTTCCACCATAATACCTTGAGATCAGATCTAATACAGAGCAACTGTGAAATTAAATCAATTAGCAGGCACTTGCCTTAAATCCTGAAGAGAAGAAGAGGAAGGCCATGAGCATCTCCCTTTCTTTTCACAAGTAACAGAACTAAGTTTCCAAAGTTGCTGTTTCCTTTACAAATAAATTAGCCATAGAAACCTCCAAGGTCACAGAGTTACTGAACAGAGTGACAAACAACAAGGCCTGTGTTTGAGCCCCATCCCTACTTCAGAAGGTGTGGTTTGCTGTGGCATGAGGGTGCTCAGGGCTGCTGGATGTTCAAAGAGCAGGAAAACTAAGGAATAAAATGCCTGAAGTTATTAAAAAGAATCATCATAATAAAAAGTGTGACTTCTGGTTGACAGCATGCATTTTAAATGCACCTGTTGTCATAATAAAGGCAAGAAATAAGACAGCCTTAGGCACAGTAGGCACTCAGACTGAGAACATCTCAGCAGTGGCCACAGAATCATAGAATCATGGAATGGTTTGGGTTGGAAAGGACCTTAAATATCAACTTGTTCCAACCCCGTGCCATGGGCAGGGACACCTTCCACTAGACCAGGTTACCCCACCTCACTTCAGAGGGTGACAGTGGGGATATCGGTCTGGGCTGAACTAATTATGTCAAAATCCCTTTATTTAATGGGCTGATGCCTCCTCCAAAGCACAACTCCCCTGACCTCTTTTAGAAGTCTACCTCAGGACGAGCTGAATCCCACCACAGGAATGCTTTTTCCTCTCCCTAGATGTGAAAGGGAATCAAAGGCACCACTCAGAGGTGCCTGTCCTACCCACATCTGCCTTTGGTCAAGCAGATCCTGGCTGTGGGCATGAACTGTTAAGATCGACATCATAACCAGGACTTCTGAGTGTGGAGATGGTTTAACAGGTGTTGGAAGTGGGACAAAGAATGTTACCAGTGTGTTACAGAGTGCACAAGAGGGGCTTTTTCCCATGGGACCCGTAACCTCATTGTAGGAAATACAGCATTTTCATGATAGTTTAGATCATCTTCACCCTCTCTAACAATGCTTCATGGCCTGGATCATCTTCTTCACACAGACATCACTCTCACATGTGGCTCTGACACTCTCACTGGCAAAGGAGAACAGAATTTGGGCCAGCCCTGCACTGACAATACATTTGTTTGCTCTTTCTGTTTAAACTACCTTAGAACAGTGAACCTGTGCCAGAGCAATTCTGTCGGGCCCACAAGTGTCCTTTAGTGCTTGAAAACACACACCAAAGAAACATTAAACCCTTGAACACAACTGTGTATGGGAACACCCCTGTGGAGCAGATACAAGCATCTAAAAACAGATCTGCAGAGCAACTGCAGGACACAAAGCCAACAGGGATAGAGACAATGTGCGATAATCTTTCTGAATCATAGAATAATCTTAGAATGGTTTGGCCTGGAAGGGACCTTAAAGATCACCCAGTTCCAAACCCCTGCCATGGGCAGGAACACCTTCCACTAGACCACTTCCACCTGCTCCAAGCCTTGAACCTGAACACTTCCAGGGATGGGGAATTAGAGCCTTGGAAAAGGATAAGTAAATCTTAAAGGATAGAGAGACCCATTTCTTTCTCAAAATTCAAGTATTTCCATCATTAGTTAATTTGAAAAAAAAGCCTTATAATTCCCTTACTTTCCAACAGGTCTTTTAATCTTTTCCCATTTTCCTTCAGCCCTCAGCAGTTCATAAACAGGAGCCTATAACTCCACACTATTTATTCTTCCTAATTAAAGAATCCTGTTAGGACACGTAGAGCAGTTGCTGGATTTTCCTTTTAAGCTCAGACCTGTCACTTCCATGAAAAATAACTGTAGCAAATGAAAGCAAGTCTTAAAAGGGCACTGCAAATCTTCATGTGAGAAAAGGAAAAAAAACTCTGCATTTTGAGGATCCTTGTGTGCACATTAATAGAATCTTCACATCTAAAGGACTTGTTTGTTGCTGTGGTATCTAGTAACATTCTTAAAAGAGATTATTCAAGGCAGAGATGGTTTGAGACCTCCTTCAGCCTTGTTGAATTTCCACTGTTATCAGTCACACAAGTGCAGCCCAAGGCCTGCCTTGGCCTATCCAAATAGGAATGATGCCCCTCACGCTGCTTTTGGAAGGAAAAGCAAGAACTCCTGCAGTCTGATCTGCAACAGAGTGTCACCAAAACACCTCTGGCACCTGTCCCCAGACTAAACGCTGCTGGCAGTGTCCTTGTGGGCAGTGCCCATGCCTGGTCAGGCTCAGGGTGATCAAACAAAACAGCACAGATGGTAACATGTAGTGCCCCTGTGCTGGGCACTGGTGAGGTGGCACCTCGAATCCTGGGGTCAGTTCTGGGCCCCTCAATGCAGGAAGGACATTGTGGGACTGGAGTGAGTGCAGAGAAGGGGAAGAGTCCGGAGCACAAGTCCCATGAGGAGCAGCTGAGGGAGCTGGGGGGGGCTCAGCTTGGAGAAAAGGAAACTCAAGGGGGACCTTCTGGCTCTGCAACTCCCTGACAAGAGGATGGAGCCAGGTGGGGGTCGGGCTCTGCTCCCAGGGGCAGGATGAGAGGACATAGTCTTAAGGTGTGCCAAGGGAGGTTTAGGTTGGACTTTAGGAAGAATTTCTCCACAGAAGGGGTGATTAGACATTGGAATGGGCTGCCCAGGGAGGTGGTGGAGTCACCATCCCTGGAGGTGTTTGAGGAAAAAGACATTAAGCTATTAGAGTGTGTCCAAAGGAGGGCCACGAGGATGGTGAAGAGGAGATCTCATCCCAATCTGCACCTTCCTCATGAGGGGAAGAGGAGAGGCAGGCACTGATCTCTTCTCTGTGGGGACCAGGGACAGGACCCAAGGGAAGGGCTGCAGCTCTGTCAGGGAAGGTTTAGGTTGGATCTCAGGAAAACGTTCTTCCCCCAGAGGGTGGTTGGGCACTGAACAGGCACTTCAGGGCAGTGGGCACAGCACCAAGGCTGCCAGAGCTCAAGGACCATTTGGATGATACTCTCAGGGACAGGGTGGGATTGTTGGGGTGCCCTGTGCAGGGCCAGGAGTTGGACTGGATGATCCTTGTGGGTCCCTTCCAGCTCAGGATATTCTGTGATTCTGTGAAAGACTGGACATGCCACTGAGTGCTGTGGTCTGGTTGACATGGTGGTGTTAGGTCATAGGTTGGACTCGGTGACCTCAGAGGTCTTTTCCAACTCAATTGATTGCGATTTTGTGACTCTGTGTCTCTGAATCTCTGTGATTCAGTGATTGACTCTGTCTCTGTGAGTCTGTGTTCCTATAACCCCGTGTCCCTCTGTCCCTGGATCCCTGTTTCCCTGTATCCCTCTGTCCCTGTATCGCTGTATCCCTGCTCCCCTGTATCTCTGTCCCTGTTCCCCTGTATCCCTGTCCCTGTTTCGCTGTGTCCCTCCACCCTTGTGTCCCTCTGTCCCTGTATCCCTGTACCCGTGTCCCTATATTCCTGTATCCCTGTGTCCCTATATCCCTGTGTCCCTATATCTCTGTGTCAGTGTATACTCGTGTCCCTGTATCCCCGTGTCCCTATATGCCTGTGTCCCTCCGTGACTGTGTCCCTCTATCCCTGTATCCCTCTAACCCTATATGCCTGTGTTCCTGTATCCCCGTGTCCCTCTATCCCTGTAGCCTCTATCGCTGTGTCTCCGTATGCCTGTATCCCCGTGTCCCTGTCTCCCTCTGTCCCTGTATCCCTGTATCCCTTATCCCGGACCATCGTATCCCCCTCTCCCCTCCCCGCGCCCTCTGAGGGCTCTCTGCACACGGCCCCGCCCGACCGCGGCGGCTCCGCCCCTCCCCTCCCAGCCCCGCCTCCGTCACAGGCGTCCGCGCCAAGCGCGGGACGCGTCGCGCGCGCGGGGCCGCGGCGCTGTCGGCGGGTGTTTTTACGGCGGGATGTGGCGGCGGGCGGGGCGGGAGCGGCCCGGGCGGGCGGTGATGAGTTGGGGCGGCGGGGGACCCCGGACCCGGAGCCGGGCGGGCCCCGCCCGAGCCTGGGGCGGGGCGGCCCGCACATGGCGTGGCGGGGCGGCGAGGCGCGGCCGGGGCACGCGCGTTGCCTTTGTTGCGCCCCCCCATCGCTCGCGCTCCCGCCGAGCGCGGGCCGTGCGGCGCGCGCCCCCCCTTTTCCCCCTTCCCGTCTCCCTGCTCGGCTGGCGCCCCGCCGCCGCCTCCGTCCTCCCCGGTGAGTTTTGTGTCGGTCTCTCCCGTTATGGACCTGGCGAGGTTCCGCCGGGCCTGCAGCGTCCTGTCCCGCTGGGCCGGCTTCCCACTTCCCGCGGGAGAGGAGGAGGGGGGCGCTTTCTCTCTCCTCCGCTGCGCCCGCCGCCTCCTATTGCCGCCGCCGCGCGCCTTGCCGGCGCCAGGACGAGGAGGCCGAAGAGGAGAGGAGGAGGAGGAAGAGGAGGACCGCGGTGCGGCCGGGGCGGGGCGCATTCGAGGCGGAGGAGGGGAGGAGGAGGAAGCGGCGACAAGGGGGCCCGCAGCACCGCCCACCACGCCACACCACCCCCCGCACCACACCACCAGCTTCAACGGGCCTCATCAGCCTGAGCTGCGGCACCTGCGGGCCTCCCTCAAGGGCCGCTCTTGGGCGCGGGGGGCCGCGGCGGCCCCGGGGGCTGGGAACAAGCGGCCAGCAAACAATGGGCTCGGGACAAGCCAGGCAGCAGCCGCCCCCCGCCGCCGCCCCCGCCGCGGCGCCCTGCTCGGCCCCCCACGCCAACCACCTCCCTCCCCAGGGAAGGACTGCACCCTCTCCTCCTCCTGCTGCTTCCCCCCCTGGAAAAGGGGACAGGAGCCAGCCTGCTGCCACCACCGCGACCGCTGCTGCTGCTGCTAAGACTGCAGCCCGCAATGGGCTGGCGGGAGAGACTGGCTTGGAGGAGGAAGAGCAGGAGGAGGGGGATGAAGGAGGGGAGGAGGAGGAGGAGTCCCTGCAGCTTCTCTCCGGGTCCTTAGCGGCTGCCTGCAGTTTGAAAGGCTCGGGAACGGACTGTCAGCCCGAGGAGGACCTAACGATACGATACGTCCAGTACGAGTCAGAGCTGCAGATGCCCGATATCATGAGACTGATCACCAAAGATCTGTCTGAACCCTACTCCATTTACACTTATAGGTATTTTATCCACAACTGGCCACAACTTTGCTTTTTGGTAAGTGCCCGAGGGGAGGCGGAGGGGTGGCAGGGAGGGCAGGAGTTGGGAGTGGTTTGGGGCTGGGGAGGAGAGGATGGAAGGGTTTGTGGAAATACTTTAAATAATCTCTTTGTGGATAAAACCAAGCTGTTGTGGAAGTACCTGTCCCCTGGTGACCTGTGCATGTGTAAGTAAAGCAATGCCCCAAGTTCCTGCATTTGTTAACACGTGTTTTAAGTGGTGAGGAAAGGGTTTGAGCACAGGGCTGGGATCCAGAAATCCAAGGCTTCTAATCGGGGTTTTGACATTGACTTTTGTGACCTTTGGTAGCTCATTTTATTATTCTCTCTCAGTTCCTGGGTTTGGATTTGAAAAAGAAAGTACTTAGTCCACTAATGCCTTACAACAACTGCTTAGTGATTCTTGCACAATGGCTTTAAAACTGACTAAAGCAGGGCTGGCACATAAATGGTAAGTGGTAGGTGGAGAGGAACTGTGAAAGGCTTAGCAGACTTTTTGATCTGTGAGCTTGCTTTGACAAAGACAAGTCCAGCTGTGTTGCTTTTACAGGTGTGATAGTGCTCACAGAAATCCTCGTGTTGCTCAGATTGTCTCCCTGTACTAACAATCTGTTTAGTTTTACATTCTTCCTGCTGCACTACTGAAAGATTGGTTTAGCTGCCCCTCCCTCTGCCTTCCTAAATGTTTAGCACTTCTTGTGTCTCAGCTGCTTTTAGGATGATAATTCATCCACAAGGGTAAGAAAGTTGGCCTGAGGGGTGTCTGGGCATAGCAAGAGCTTAGCTGTGTTTGATTTACTCATAGGAACACTTACATCTGCACAACAGAACGTTTTGGGGAGTGTGTGGCACTTGCTTGCTAAGGTAAATGATGAATTCTTAGCCCTTGATGTTTTAATCAAGGCTGGACACCTCTCTGAAAGGTCTGGTTTACCCAGAGCCAGGACACCTTCCAGTTCAGGGCTCTCTCTGTGAAATTTTGATAGAGTGAGTAGAGGAGGTGAGGTTAATGGAGCCCATCTGGCCCTAAACTTCCTGAATGTTCTTGGTTTAGGATCTGGTATAATTTATAGGAGGATTTGTATGATTTATAGGAGGATTTTCAGAGTTGTGCTTCTTAAAACCCTGCAGAGGGAACACAGTAGGCCTATAGGAAGTTGAGCAAAGCATTACCTTCTGGAACACAACAGAATATGAAAATATTGGAGAGCATTGTTGGATGCAAAGTCATGTTTGCCATTAGAAGGATGCTGAGCAGAGCACAGTGGTGCTTTTCAAGCACTGAGCTCTGTGTGACTGATTTACCTCATACTGAGAGAAAAATGCTCCTGAGCTGCAAAAGTCCACACTTGGAGCATCAAGTGTATCACTGGCAGGGTTGGATACTCTGAGATCACAGTGCACTTGTTTAGATTTTAAATCATTATGGGGTTTTTTTGTCGGGGAATGACTGAAGAATTTTGTTATGAAAAGAGCAATGACAAGTTGTTTGACAGAGCACTAAAACAGATGATTTCTAATAAGTGCATTCAAAGAATGAGATATCACTCAAGGAAGAGAAAGTGTCTTCAGCTTGTTTTGTAGTGACAGTTTCATCTTTTTGACAGCCTCGAAGAGTCAACAAAACTTTTCCTGAACTCAGTGTATTTGCCATTCTTTTTGGAAAGATGGGCACAATGTAAAGTACATAAAACTGTAGAGAAGAATATATGGCTGTGTGTGTCTAAAGCTTGCAAATTGTCGTCTGCTTAATAATTGGAAAGTCTTGCAGTTTGCTGAGTCAAGTTTCATGGAGGTTTTTTGTGACTGGTTTTAGTGGTTTTAAGGTTTGTTTTTTAGAGGTTTACTTGAAGACTTTATCTTCTATAATATTTAACTCGTCCCTGCAGTTAATGGATTCCTGAACTACTGCTAAGTCCCTTTAAAATATTTATCTTCAGTCAGGGACTGCATATTCCAATTACCAGGAGGAGTGTCAGGATGGTGAATGAGAAGCTTAGTGCCTGATCTCACAGAATCATTTGTCTTTAATGCCTTGTGGCCTCACTCTCTTCTGGCTTCAGGTTTTAGTTAGATTTTGATTGTCTTGGGAAAAGGGCTTGGCCCGTGATTTGATTGTATTTGAAAAAAGATCTGTGAGGGTTCAGTCAATTCCTTTGCTGAATTTCACCATCACCATTTTTAAAATCTTCCAGTACATCCTCACCTGTCTTCATTGTGTTCCATGGGCACCTTTCCTTTTTCCTCCCTGTGAGGGGAAAGTACAAATCCACTGAGATTGGAGATGGGATGTGTGTTTTCCAGAAATAATCAGCGTTTGGCCCTTGCTGATGTTTTATGCAGTGGACCATCATTTTCCTATCGTGACAATGCAAACCTATTTTCTGGGGGCGTTATTAACTTTATGCCTGGTGATTTTTATCTCCTGGGTTGGAAACTTCTAAAGGCCAAGCCAAAACTCAGCAAGTTGCAATATTGCTTTAGTGGCTGGTGCAACCCAAAGTGCCACAGGTTTTCCTTTCTGTTCAACTCCCTCTTCCTGGCTTGTGCTAGCCCTTGTGTTTCTCTGATTTGGGAAGCCGAGAGAGCCCTCCCACCACAATATTTTTATAAGTGTGTATGTTTATATATGTTTTAGGGTCATGTTCTCTGGGTTTAGAGCTCCAAATATATTCATGTAGGATGTCCCAGGCCCTGGTGCAAGAGAAGAGGTGAGGATGCACAGCTGGGGGGGAAAGGCACAGGACCAATGCTAATTGGTCACCAGTGTGCTGGATCAAACCACTTCCTAACTGTACACTCAAAGAAGTTCATATTCCACTTTAAAAGGACATGGAGATACTGGGAATCTTAAAACCCTGTTAATTTTAATGTCAGATTTGCCTGTGTAACTTTTCTTGACTTCAGGGCTAGCGCTGCAGCAACTGAGCAGTTGCAAGTTAATAACTTCCTCTTCTATAAATTTCTAGTGGAAGGTGTCCCTGTCCATGGCAGGGGTTTGGAACTAGATGGTCTTTAAGGCCTCTCCCATCCCAAACCATTCTGTGATTCCGAGAACCTCCAGCTGTCTGTTTAAACTCAGGTTTCACCTGTCTTTGGGAGAGCAGGTTTGCACTGTGTGTTAGGTGTGGATGCTCTGTAAAATACCTGCTTTTTACTTATTCCCAGGAGCTCTGTCAGCCCAGTTTATTTTCAAATTACCCATGATAACCAGCCAAAAACTGACAGGGGAAAGGGGGATCTTGTCTTTCCCTTGGAGTATTTTTAAGCGTCACCACATCTTTGTCCCCACAATGATTGTAAATGCACTTTCAAAGTTGTAGCTTCCTTTTAAAGTGGGTTTATTTTGCAGCTTCTAGTCTTAGCAGTGTGAAAGTTCTCAAACCTGTATTTAAAAACTGGTATATTAAATATTTCAGAAAATTGTTCTCCAAATCCTTCAGCGTGGGAGAGGTGAGCTTAGGAAACCTTGCTCTGTGCCAGGGTTTGGATAAGGCAGGATGTAATAAAAGCTGAGCTCTGGCTGAGTGCTGTAACCTCTCCTGTAATTCACTGCACCATTCAGCTGCCTTTTAAGAAAAATCTGGAAAATCTGTGCTTTTATTGGATTCTTAGCTTTACCACCAGCTATAGCAGCATTTATAATTTAAACTTTCACAAGTTTAAAAATAACCTATTAATTCCATGTAAGTGGTTTTAGATGTGTTGCAAATCCTAAATGACTGCAGTTAAGATCTTGTTTTATGTTAATGCTTTGCATTTTTTTTCTTTAAATTGGATTTTATTTGAGAGTCCCAGTGTACTTAGTGTTGAAATTAAGACTGGTGAGACACCATCCCTGTTTTTCAGTCATGGAAAACCTGGGGCATGAAAGGAAAACCGGAAAAGTTGGGAGAATGTCTGAGAAGTTGGACGTGGCAGATGTAGGAAGAAGTTTTATAGGATTCATTCCCAGTTTGCAAACTCTGTATTCCAGTTTGTTTTTAGGAGTGATCATGGTTTAAGACACAGGCTGTTGGTGGCTTTGTGAAAACTCCAGTCACTGCAGCACCTGAGCAGGGAACAGGAGCCAGTGTGGTTATTCCAGCAGTGGGAGAAGGAGTCCCTTGCATGGGAGGAGGGAATTACTGGTGTCCAGTTTTGTAGAGTGGGAGCAGGGGGATGGAGTGATTTGCCCAGTTTCGGGAAGAGCTCTGCCTGAAGTGCCAGACCCGAGGTTAAATCCATTAGCCTGAATGTATCCTCTAATGGCATTCAGTAACATGATCCCTAAATGTAAGCCAGTTCTTACAGAGCTATGTCTGGGATACTTTGGGATGGATTTTGGTGCAGGTGTGAAAGGAAAATGTGGTGCAGTAGTGCAGGTTCTACCGTGTTTGAGTTGTAAAGTATTTAAAATACTTCCCATTTGGGGCCAGTTGCTTGTTTTAATCTTCTTTAAATAGGAACAGAAGTCCCAGGATCTGGGTATTAAATGCATACTCTGAGTTTGAAAGACTTAATGCCATCTTTGCTAATGAAATTAGTACAAATTGATTGATTTTGTGGCAAGTTATGTTCTTGCTGATTTACAGACATTTCTGTACTAACTCTTCCAGTATATTAAAATCTAGTTTGTTTTAAACATTTAAACTTATTCATAGGCACAAAGTTGATGCAAATACTGGATTTGGATTCATGTATGTTAATCCTGCTACTAATAATTTAGGATTGAAGTAGATCTTATAGTACTCTGTGGGTTTTATGATATATAATAGTGACTTGGGCTCGATGCTGTTTGTAGGAACTTTTACATTTAGAACTCCTCTCATACGTGAAAAGAAAATTTGGCCCATGGTTATCTCTTCATAAATGGTGTTGTGTGGGAGCTACTTTTTTTCTCTCCTTCTCACTCTCCCTATTTCAGTCTGGTTTTTTTTTTATTTACCCAGTTTAACTTTCCTCAGGAAATTAATTACGAAGCTTCACATCACAGTTGAGGTTCATTTCCAGCTCTGCAGAAGGTTGGAGAGAAGGAGAAAGGAGAGAGAAGGCAACAAAAAAAAAACCCCTCAAATTGAGGTGGAAATGCAGCACTCCCTCTGTGGGTGGAACAGCCATAGATTTACTGCCAGATTTACCTGCCTGAAGACAGAGAAATAGATTGAAGTGTTTGGGGAACTGGTAACAAAGTCATTCTTTATTCAGCTCTCTGGCAGCAGTGGTAAAACCAGTGGGTATTTGCTTCTTTGATTACTAAACCAAAGTTCTTTGCTGTTCATTTAGCATTTTAAATATATGATTCATGAACAGAACGTTCCTGAAAAGTGCCCTGAACAAGCAGGAACACAGATATGCAGAGTGTCCAGATTGTCACTACTCTTGAAGTGTGTAAAAAGAAAAAAAATCTTAAAAATTCTCCACGTAAAACTGTCAGGATCAACAGTTTGCACGTGTTCACTCGAGGGCAAAGCATAACTATAACATGCTGGTTTGTGGTGTGCTTTTTTTTTTTTTTTGGTGAGGTATAAGATTACATCTAGGTAGTCTGCATAATTATAGCAATGTTCTGAGCAGTCTGGCTGAAGATACTCTTTATTTAACTCCCTGGTTTTCTCAGGTCTGAGCTGAGATACAGAACTTGCCTTGAGCTGAAACTTTGCATACACAGCTCTAGTATAAGTACAGCTTCTCTTTTCTATGGAATAAACTGTGTTTTGGAACAAATGAAGGGCTGCTTAGGGTATTTCAGTCCAGTTAGATCATGCTGCAGCTTTTGTTTGTTGTTTTAAAAAATCACTTGTTAGATTGCTCAGGGTTGTTCTTGGATACTGCTAAAAACCTGTTTTCTTGCCAAATAAAAACTTAGCAATAATTATATTTGCTTCAACTCTATTAGAAATGGAGTTAAGATCATGCTGTATCATAGGGCTTTGGAACTGCAGCTTGTACATTTTGGGCTGCTTCATTTCACCTTTGATACAGTTCCTAGTTGCTAACCTGGTTAATAACCCACCATCCAGGTGGAGATGCTCCAAGACATTCTTCTTTTTGAGGTGAAGAGCCTGTGTGTGTGAGCCTGCAGGACAACCTGCATGAAGGAACCTTCTCTTTGTGGGAGCTTCAGCCCACAAAGCTGTGTACAAAAAGGTTCAGGTGTTTGGAGACTATACAGTTTATCCTTAGACTTAGGAGCTCTGGGTTCACAGGTGGGCTGCTCTGAGCCCTGGCAACACTGGCTCTAGCAAGTGTTTTTTATTTGGCATGTGTTACACTTGTAAACTTGGATTATCCAGACTCTGTGCCAGCACATGCTTGTGCCAATCATGTGCTGTAGTCCCGGTTTAGCTGCTGCACTTGAACCCGAGGCTGGTTCCCCCTGCAGACACAGGTCTGTCTGTGCATCCCTTTAGACACCCCTGTGTACAGTTAGGAGTTTCTTTTTGTGTCTGCCCATCTTTCCTGAGTGCCCAGGAATTCCTCCTCCCCTTGGATACTGTCCTGCTCTGAGCACTGCTCGGTGTTACTGCTGCAGGTTATAATGTCATTAATCCCTCATGCTCATGACTCAGTTTTTCTTTTTCTATTTCATGGTAAAATTCTGCTGAACACAGGGCAAGTGCTTGGATAAGTGTTTGGGTTCTTTTCTTTTTGGGGTTTTTCTTGATATTTCAGAGTGACTACATCTCCTTGACCACAGATCCTGTGACAATGCCATTGGGATTAACTGCCAGTGCACAGCTCTTAACAAATGAAACCTCTGAATAGTTAAAAGTGTGTGAAATTAACTGTGCTTTTTTGTTTGTTCTCTGGTGTCAGATGACTGAAAACTACCCTTTTCAAAGATTAAATGCAGCAACACTTTTCCTTTGTGGCCTTGACATTAAAACCAGACAAAAATTAAGCATGTTATCTACCACAGCCCTCGTGCAGGAAAATTCAGATTGGTATAAAATAGGAATGGACTTTTTTCCCCCTCTGCAGAAGCCCATGTGAAAGGGTGATTTATGCCTTAACCTGGTATTTTATTTTATTTATTTCCCCTTTCAATCACACATGTTCTTGCCTGTAGACTTTGTGAAATGTGGTTCTCTCCAGGACAGTTCACTGGTTGTTAATTTTAAGTTTATTGGAATGTAATAAAGAAATAAGAGTCTTTTACTGATATTAATATTTTTTGAGATATTTCTAAAATTCATTTCACTATCTTTTCGTAGCCTTTTTATAGAAACAAGGTTTTTTGTGGCTGTTTCACTTAAAAAATGAACTTGGTTTACTGCTTTTGGTGGCACTGGAGATGCCAAACTGAGAATGTCTGTTTGTCTTTAAGGCCATGGTAGGGGAGGAGTGTGTAGGTGCCATCGTCTGCAAGCTGGATATGCACAAAAAGATGTTCCGCAGAGGTTATATAGCCATGTTAGCAGTGGATTCCAAATACAGAAGAAAAGGAATTGGTAAGAAAAAAGCCTTTTTTTGTTCTTATTCAAATCCTGTCTTTGGGATAACTGTAGCTGTCATGAAGATTTAAGCTGAGCTGAACTGGTGGTTTGTCTGTCTGTCATCCCTGACTTACTCAACCGCACGAGCTCCCCCGTGGCCTCTCTGACTTTGTTAAAATAACCTGAGATGCCCTTTGAGGTTCACACCTGGGATATGATAAAGCTAAAAAGAAAGGCAGGCAGCAGCCCCTGACCTCTGCCTATTACCCCTGTCAAGTAACACCAGTGGGAATTGCTTTGTGTTTTTATATGTACCCTCATCACTGTATTTCCATGTTATGTTCAGGCTCTTCTTTTCAGTGAACTTATTCCCTGGCTTCTCCCTATAAATTATACATATATTGCCCGTTGGGGAGAATTGTATGGAGCTCATTATTGTATTAATAAGTGAAGAAAAATAGCTGTGTATTGTTACTTGCATGATTGAAATGGAGATCTGTTCTGTTGGGAAGTTCCTTGGTAAAGAAATCACTCTTGGCAGGGAGTTTGCCCTCCCTCATTAATCAGTTTTGCCCCGATGAAGGGATTTTCATTCTGACACCAGTTATCCAGGTTGGCTTAATTAAAGATTTGTTCTTATGGAACTTAATTTTTTTTTGTGCTGGTTATTGTGAAATTACATTTTGGAACATGTTTTTAACTTAAAACATGGACGTCAGCTTTAAAGCTTAAAATGTGCTGCACCACTCATGTGCACTGAACAGCTCATACTTCTGTGATTAAGGACAGAAAATTACTTCCAATTGAAAAATACAGTGATACATTGCAGAATGTACCACTGTGTTTGCTCTCTTCAAAAAAATAACCTTCAAGAAACTTGCAGTATATGTATTATCATGACTGTTCAAACGTGTGCAGGTTTTTTTTCCTCTCCAGTGCAAATTCAAAAGCCATTGTTGGTTTCTGTAGTGGAGCAGAGGGAGAAGGATACTGAGGAATCACTGTCTCTCCTTTGCTTTTAGCTGAGTCATGAAGGAGTCTGCCATAATTTAATTGCAGGTGCTTGGATTCATAAGTAAATAAGAGCTAATGCTGTTATTATGAAGATCACTGCAAGATTTTTCCCTCCCTTTAGTCAGTTGGTTATGTTAGAATTGTATAAATAGAATTTATCTTTAAAGCCTTGCTTACTTTAGCATTATATATGTTGACTTTTCCCTACATTTGCCACCTTGCTGTTTCTCAAAGTGTGCTGCTAATCTGAAGATCTGCTTTAAATGTAGTACAGTTTTATCATATATTCAATGAAAAATCTTAATTGATTAAAGTGCTGATAATACTTTCCAACATTCCCTAGATTCCTTGGGGGTTTTTTTCCTTTTCCTTAGCCTTCTTATGGAAGTGAGATTTATGCAATTTCATTGAACAGCAGTTTTTTCCACTAATAACTTTGAAATCAACTTTCAATTTCACCCCAATTCTACAGACAGGTAGGGATGTTACATCTGTAGAACTGTTGTGAAATAGATGAAAAAAATAATGATAAAAAAAATTAAATTAATGCTTGACTGAGGGGAAGGGATGGGCTTCAACAGTATTATTAGATCCTAGCAAATCCAGAGGGGAGTGAGCCACAAGAAAAGTGGTTTCATAAGTTCTGTTACTAATAGAAGTATTTGTTTTAGTAAGAGGAAATTCCCTTGGAAGATGAATGTCCTTCAACTGCACGCCAGCAGATTTTGCCTTTAAATGCAACAAAAAGGAATGAATCACATCTTGGAAGGCTATATATAACACTGTGTTAAGCATAGCAGCCTGTTTCTAATATCCTCATGTTAGAAGAATCTTGCACTTAAGCTGAGTCTCTGGATAACTTCAAGGATTATTTTATTGTTCAGACTCGAGGCTGCAGCTTGACTGCAACTTCTTGTGTTCTTCTTTTCCTCCCTGCCTTCCCCAGGTGTCATGTCATGTAGGTAGCACACTTTAGTCATATATAAACCAGCATTTTTTTTTTGCACTGCAACTCTGACACTTAAATCTGTATTTCAGGTACAAACTTGGTTAAGAAAGCTATTTATGCTATGGTTGAAGGAGATTGTGACGAGGTAAGATTTTTCTAAATCAAAAACTTTCATAATGTAAATGGTTTGCATTCTCCTATGTGTGGATTGGTTTCACAGGTTTTTCTTCCACATGACTTTTTTTAGGCGAGAAATGGTAAGAAGTTCTTTATAATAAAAGGTGGCAAACTTGGTAAGAAGTTCCTCAGAATAAAAGAAAAAAGAAATGGCACAAATAAGAGATGGATTTTCTAAATTTATCATAAGTGCTGGAATTCAACGTTTCAGGTTTTGTTTTACTTTGTGAAGCTGCCTCAGCCTTCCCTCCCAGGCACATTTTCCTCCACGGGCTCCAGTTTAAGGAGCTGCTGGGCAGTGTGAGGTGGAGCTGTGTGTAGTCCTGCCCCTGGAACAGTGTGTGCTGTGGTGCTGCGGTGTGGTTTGATCCCAGTCACCAGCCTGTTCTGACACTGCACAGCTTATTAGGTAGCACAAACAGAGCTGGAGTGATTTAGCATGTCAACAAAAACTTGGAAGGAAAGTGACTGTCAAACTTTCCCTGGCCTAAATGTTGTTAGTCTTTTACCACATTACAGTCCCTACTCTTCTTCTCTCTCTCTCTATATATATATAAAGAAACTGTCTGTCTCTATGCACCATGTTTAACTTGAGAGGAGCTCTCCCTACATCCATCCTCCTTAATCAGGTTATCTGTCCCTTTGACTCCCATCTCCTGGGCACAATGCAATTGTTGCCTTGTTCCTGAGGGTGAGCACTGGGTCGTTTCAGTGTGTCACAGTTAAGGAGCCTTTGATCTCTCTGTTATCTCCTTTCAACTGCTCCCCCTGCCCTGTGGTGAAGTTTCTTATGCAAAGCTACAATTTGTGTCACAGGACTTCTGGGCACATACTCCTGTTTGTTTTTCCACTTGTTGCCTCTTGTAGCATCCCTGGATATGTTCTGACTTCATTCATCGTGGTTATTTTTCTTCTCCTCAGATTCCTTCATGACTCTACTTACTGGTGTCTTTTTTTTTTTTTTTCCCCCCCTGTCTAATTGATGTCGTGCTGGGGCAATACAGTTCAGCCTGTAATTCTTTAAAGTTCTTTGTTTTAGCTTGTTGCTTCTCTCATGCCATGTAACACTTGCTCTAACCTCTTTAACTACTTGCTACAGAGAACTAATCAAAAAAAGGTTGGTTTGCTTGTTTTCCCCGTTGCTTTCCACTGTGGTTTTGAGTTGATTTGCTGCTGCTAGAGCATTCAAGATTTAAAAAAAATGGCTAAATAACTGAGGACTGGTGTCCACATCACAGCTGGAATATTGAGATGCAGAGAAGTGAATTGCCCACTGTTGTTAGAGAGTCAGGAGTAGAACTGGCTGTTTCTGCTCAAGCTCTGAGTTGCAGTAATTACTGTCTGATTTCTGAATTTGTGTGTGCTACTTCTCATGTACCTTCATTTCTAAGCTGCTTTTATCTTCATAAAAATACAGTAAATGTGCTAAGGGTTGCAGGCTGGTCTGCAGTGAGGCCTCATTAAGTCTTAGTCACAGATTTTCATCTCTGGTGCTGTATAAATGCTCTGGATTAGGGGCAGAGGGCATTTCTCAGATACTGTTCATGTTCCCTTTAATTGAAGGCCCTACAATTCAAACTCCTTGAAGTGTGTGCTGTGGGTGCAGTCATGGTTCACTTCCAGTTTGGAATCTGTAACCCTGTTTGTGGGAAGACGATTCCAAACTCATGTCCTGCTTTTTGGGGGCTTCTGCATCAGCTGAGTCTTGTGCTGGTGCAGAATTTTGAACTCAATTTTGGAGCGTGGAGTGCAGGCAGAGGATTTTATTGATGTTCTACGCCACCAACAGAGGCACATCCACACTGATTTATTATATCTGTGTTGTTCTTTTCCACATACAGGTTATCCACAGCCAAACAGCCAATGTTTTCATGGGTTTTTTTAAATTTGCCACCAAGTATGGGCTTTCTCCACATACACATAGTGCAAAATAATGATGGTGGTTGCTTGTACCACTTGAGTTTTCAGTCATGACCACAGTCTGAAAAATCCAACAAGCCACCCATTAAAAATCTCTGTCCAACTCTTGCCCTCACCATTTTTTACAACTATTTTCAGGAGTTCAGTTTCTAGCTAATTGATGCTTAAAGCTGATCAAACATGAAGTTATGCATCACAGTAATTTGTGAGGTGTGTAAATAGTTTAATCATCCCTGCTGCTCTTAAGGTATTTTCTTACATCTTTTAATGAAATCAGAAGCATGGTGAAAATAAAAAGATGCTGCTACTTGAGATAAGATGAACTGGAGTTCAAAATAAAAAAAGCTATTTTCTAAAACCTGCTTGGAATAGGATTAAAAACATAAATATGCAGTTGTGGGTGTCATGAAAGATTTCCAAAGGCTACTTGGAAACTCTTCCCTTCAATCTAATTATGGAATAGATGCAGTAAATAGACTTAATTTTAATAACTTATGGCGTAGAATCTGATAAATGTTCAGTGTGTTACTCTTCAGAGTATCATAAATTGGACTTCTGAGGTATCACCATTGAGTCCTGAAAAAATAAAGGATTTATACAACACCATGGATGAAAATCTTGCCACACATCAGTAGTGATTTGTCATTTCAAATATTTTAGTGATATTCCAATATTTTAGCAATTAAGGACATTTGGGTTTTTTTTTCTTTCCTGTAAGCAATTTTGCTGGGAATAAACTAAGGCAGGCCTGTGGAACAAGTGATTTACAGTGTGAGCTGCTGTGGTCAGGCAGTGCCTGAGAGGCAGTTTGTGCTGGGCTCCATCCCTCAAAGCTGAGGCAATATCCTTGCACAGGGGTGGTTTCTGTGAGTGGGGTGAGTAAGTGAGGAGTTGAATTGGCTGGAATGGAATCCGTGTGGAGGGGAGGAGCTGCCCATGGAGCTGCCCCTGGCCTACATTAGAATAGAAACCAGGGAAGTGATCTGAGGTTGGGGGTGGGTGGGTGAACTAGAAATAACCTTCAAGCCTGAAGAAAGTGCAGCCTGCTTTGAGCTGGAGTGTCTGGATATAACATTACAAATAAAACTTAGGGATCTTTGGGTTTTATTTTTTTTTTTACGTTTGTGATTTTCTCAGGCATTTGATGTTAATGATTTTCAATATTTGGGGTAGTGAACTCTCAACACCCTGAGTTTCCAACAGGCCACAGTGATTTAGGATAACCACAGGCTGGTTGCATAGGAAAGGTGAACTATGGAAGTCAATCAGGTGAAGGGGAATAGTTTCACCCCCAGCCCCAAAGCTGTGAAAAGATTTTTCTCCCAGTTTAAAAAAGGGAAAGCGTGTGCTGACTGCAGCGAGGTGCTATCTGCCTGCTTTTTGTACATTTGCTTAGTTTTTTACTGACAGGCAATTTTCCAAAATTGTGCTGCTGAAGACCTTCCTGTGGAATTGTTACATCCCTTAATTACAATTAGAAAGGAGGAGTTGTTCATTCATATGTAGGTTTTCCATCTGTAACAAATGACAGACTAATCTGCATACAATTCACTCACCTCATATTACTGAAATAATGTACCATGCAACTGCTAACTAATAAAAAGTAAGACCCTTGTAAGTGGGACTCCTAAAAGCTTTTTTTTTTTTTTTTTTTTTTTTTTTAAGCAAAATGTAGAGCATAAAAAGGAATTCTGAATTCCTGTGGAAACTTTAGATTGATTTGAAGTGATGTTTTTTTGACCACACCAGTGGTTGACACTGGTGTCTTTCTAATTCAGTACCACACTAGTAAAAATTAAATGTGTATTTTTATAGAGTCCTATTTGAAATCATTACATTCTTAATATTTTAGTTTTTCCTTAATCTATAAATCATCTAAAGTATGAAGTGTTATATTTTGAGTACTGCCTTTCATTAAAAGTTAAGGCAGTTTTAAATTGATTAAGGACACTGGACAAGCCCCCATAACTTGAGTCTGATGATGTGTCAGACTTGAAAGTAAGAATAGGGAGTGCTGGGAGCACTTCCTTCATTTGCTTATTTGGTTTGGCTGTATCCTTTCCATGCCTTGGTTTTTAAACTTGAATTCATTCAGAGTTTGAACTGAAGAAGCAAGAAGGCTTCACCACTCCACTTATCTTCAGCTTAGGAATAAATTCAAGCTATGAAAGTGTAGTAGCAAGAAACATTGCACTCCACTCTCAGTACAGAACATTTCTTGCTTCTAAACCCAGTTAAAATTAGATAGTTGAGCTAAAAGGTTTATGAAATTTAAGATAAAAGAGAAAGTAACAACCTTCAGAAAGTTGCAACTTGAGCAGAAAATGCTGTTAAATGCAGTCCTTTGCTGCTCTCCAGGGGGGGATGTGATTGTGCTATCAGGGATTTAACAGGCTTATGAGTACAGCAGAATCGACCCCAGAAGGGCAGAAATAAATGTAGTGATTGAGGGTTTGGAGCTTGATTGAAAATCTCACACAGGAAGAGGTGCATTCTTCACCAAACAAAGCTAATGAAATTTGAATAAAATATGCCCGTGTGTCCCGTTTAGGTAATAGAAACCTGTCTTTAGCTGCAGCATGTTGAGATCAGGGAATTGCTTTTCATTGTGCTGAGATTTCCTTAGAAATACCAGAGCAAATCTCCTGCATTTGCTTTCAAGATGAGCATTCACTCAGGTAGTGGGATTCCAACAAACCTGTATTTCAACATTTAACCACTCCCTTCAGTTCAATCACCTGCAGTGTTGGAAGGGTTTTAGCATTGCAAGGTGTTGGAGCTTGCAGTTGAATAGAGATTTGTTATATCACTGTGCCAGGTTACTAAACTTTGGAGAGTGAATGCCATTTGTAGCTAAGAATTCCAATAATCCTCTGCATGGTGGATTTACATGGGTCAGATTTCCTCTCTGGCATTAATATTCTGTTTTTAATTTGAATTAAGGAGCCGTACAATGTGTAGAAAATAGCACTCTCCAGGAAAATTATTGTGCTTCCATTATTAGTTATAAATGAATAGTTATTATCCACTGTAATGGATAAGGATGTTGAGTACTCCATCAAGTCACAAGACTTGATAGTAGTAGTGCTCTGTGAAGTGCCAGCTAGAGAAATTCAATCTCTAATTCTTGCCACAAGACTAAGAATTGAATTAGGTTGTCTTAGGTGTACAACTCTGCCCTGCTGTAATTTAAGAACTCTAATGATTAATATTTTAATGTGTGACTCTTTAGTTCCTTTTTGTAAAACGAGCTACTGCCAAGTCTTACATTGTTCAGTGGGTTGTTTATTGTTCTTTCAACATCCTCACACCGGGGATCACAGGTGGAATAATCCATTGGAATGTGGTTAGAGCAGCTTGAAACCTGAGTCAAATATATACATCAAATGGATTTTCAAATCTCAGTGGAGGTGACCAGTGCAGGCACTGCCTGCCTCCCTCTTCCACACCGGTGTAGCCACTCCTCAGGCTGCAGGAAACAAACCCCATGGAGAGAAAAAGGAAAGGGTTTTGTGCCAGGTGGCTTTGGAAGGAGCTCAGCAACCAGCCTGGAGAGCTGGCAGGAGACGTGAGGGGGAATGGGAATGTGTGCCTGGAGGCAGTGGGGGACACAGAGGCCAGAAAGTAGATTGACTTAATCCAGGCTGAAATTGTGGTCCTATATTTGCATTCTGTGCTCCTTCCACAGTGACCATCAGCTCCTGTTTAACGTGTGGATGTTCATTGCCATGGGGATGTATGGAATTGAGTCACGTTATTAGTTCAGCCTATGTTCTTGTGCAACCAGGACCTGTCCTTAGGAGCAGAATCCTTAAAGAGATGAGCTGGACAGCAGTAAAGAGGCAGAGCAAGTTTTTGTTATGTGGAGTGTGTTTGGGATCACCAGTTGTGGCAGAGCTCTGTCCAGTGCACGTGAAGGAAAGAGGGAGAAAATTCAGAGGGAGATACTTGAGTTTATTAAATAACTTCTTGTTAATACCAGTGTAGTTTTTACCTGCATTTGAGACTACTGGGGCAATTTCAGGTCTTTGCTTAATTTGGGCTACACTTCTACTTGGTTTTGGTCTGAGTTATTACTGACAGATGGTCTTGCAACTGGGATCTCACAACACAGGGTGGAAAAAGATGGGAAAAGATGCTCTTTCTTCCTGGTGTGCACTCTGATTTGTTTGGGGTATTTGTTGGTACCCAGATTGGATGGGACCCTGAGCAACCTGGTCTAGGGAAGGTGTCCCTGCCCATGGTAGGGGGTTGGAATGGGATGATCTTTAAGGTCCCTTCCAACACAGACCATTCTGTGATACTTGTGTTGAGAGCAAGTACTCCTTGCAAACATTGGATCTGACAGCTGGTATCAATCTGAAGCTTTTATCTAAATCTTAACGATTTAGAGGTCAAAGATATTAAATAAATAAACAAATCCTCCTATGCCAAGTTTTTGTAACATGCAGAGGTTCGGTTGCTCATTCAGAGTATGTTTTGGACCTTCACCTGTGGTTGCTTGGATTTTGGGTGGGGTATTTTTGAGAGGGGGAATGTTGGGAGATGGAGGTTGTTTGGGATTTATTTGTTGATGTGTTCTTTACCCCAGTTATTAGGTGGTGAGCTGAAACTCTATTTGCAGCCAAGAACTAAAATCTCGACGTGTTGTTTACAATTACAGTTGTTGTTTAACTGCTGGTTTTTTAAAATGTGGGAAGCTCCAGTGTGGGGATGGGAAGCTTAATGTGGAAATATTGCTTCATTAAGTAAGAGTGTAAGAAGGAATTAATTCCACTCATTGCTCATAAAGGTACCTTTAAATAAAACCTTTGAAATGGGTTCAGTAGTCGTGTATTTGCATTTGCTTACTGAACTAACACGACCTACTCAGCTAACGCTGCTTCTTTTCTTCCTTTTTTTTTTTCTTTCTTTCCCCTTCAAGGTCGTATTGGAAACAGAAATCACAAATAAGTCTGCTTTGAAACTTTATGAAAACCTTGGTTTTGTGCGAGACAAGAGGCTGTTCAGATACTATTTAAACGGAGTTGATGCACTGCGTCTGAAACTATGGCTGCGTTAGGAGAGCCCATCCCACGGGAGCGACCGCCGGCCCCGGCAGCGCAGAGTCGGCCTTTGCATGCCAAGCAATTTGTTCCCAGAATTGCTTTGCAGGTGGACTTAGTGATTCCCATGCAGCTCTTAAAAAAAAAAACAAACAACCTGTCAGTGTCCCATTGAGTGTCGCACATTTTCGTTGCACTTTGGCATGGCGCGTTTGTTCCGAATTAAAAGCCGGTTCTTTCCGACTCCCGAGTCCTTTTGGTACCAGCCAGAGATGTGCCAGTTGATAGCCAAGATGATGTTCATTCATTTGCAATTACTGACTGTCTTGACATACACAGAACCTGTATGGGAAAGCCACTTTTGGTTCCAGAAAATTAAAAAAAAAAAAAAAACCAACAAAAAACCCAAACAAAAACCCCACAAACCACACACACACACAAAAAAGCCAACGTAGATTGTAAAATTCTATAAGTATACTAACATTTCATACTGAAATTGCCATAGTTTTCTGGGGAAGAAGAAGAAGAAAAAAAAAAAGAAAGGCTTCAATTTTAGGTTTTATTTTTCAATATTGAATTTTTTTCCATTCTTAAATATTGGTACCTCAGTGATTAGTGAATGAAAAAATGTATTGTAGGGTGGGGTGTGTGTTACAACGAGTAACAGTAACCATTAAATTGCGTCTGCCAGTGCCTGTATAGATAAGTATATTTGTCTTCACCTCTAAGTTTGGAGTGCATGCTTTTATTCTTTTGCTTTCTTCAATTGTCTTTGCGAGGAAAAAAAAAAACAACAACAAATTCTGCTTTTATTTAAATTCTGGATTTGATAATAAATTATTTCAGATTTTTATAATTTGGATACTTCTCCCAAACGAGGGTTTGGAAGGCCCTTCTTCTAGCAAGAAGTGTGAGCTATTTTGAAAACCTTGGGTAGCTGCTAAAAGAGAACCTGATGGCACCAGTGAGTCTCTGCTGGGTTTGGATGCACTTTTTTCATTAAAAGAGTGAGGGACTTTTAAAAGAAGATATAGAAAATTAATGTAAATTGGTATGATTTTTATTTAATCGAAATTATTGCTAGAAGCTCTGAAAAACAGCTATTTTAAGATAGTCGGAACAAATTTTTTTTTTCTTTTCAGATTCAGATTGCTTTGCTTCAGTGTTCTAAAATGCTTCAATCTTTGGTTCTTGGTCTTGGAAATAAATTTCAAGGTGTATCGTATGCATTTTTAGCTGCTCTCATTTTCTCTAAACTTACATGAGCTAAATTATTGGGGGATTTTTTTTCCCCTCCAAAATCAAAGCAGCGGGGAAGGAATTCTGTCTCCCTTTCTCTCTCTCTCCCATTTGCTCTTGCTCTGTTTTTTCTCTATATTTTTCCCCCCCCCCTCTTTAATTGGGCTCACAGAAGTTTTATAACACCCATCAGTTTTTTTTCAGTAATTAGGTGTCGAGGCTTTCTTGTTCCATGTGATTCCACAGCCCAGCTCTATGAATCAGTTGGGTCGGGTTGTTTTCTTGGGGTTTTTTTTTCCCAAGGTATTAGTTGACTTACAGAAACACCTCTGTAATCCCAGATATCACAGGATATTCTGAGTTGGAAGGGACCCACAAGGATCATGGATTCCAACTCTTAAGGGAATGGCCCATGCAGGGATGGAAAGGATGAACTCTCAGTGAATCCCCTGGAGTCAAGCGAACTCTTCAGCTTTGCCTTACTACACTTTTTTGTTTTTACCTTTAGGGTTTGGTTTGAGTCACGGGGGTTGTTTTCTTTTTTTCTTTTTTTCTTTTTTCCTTTTTGCTAATTACTGTACGCTTAAAAATACAAAACCAACAAAACCCCTACCTCCAGTAACATTTGGGAAAAAGAGCCCTGTGCAGGAAAAACTGGATTTAAAGCAAAGCCGCCTTTTGCACAGACCAATCGCACATGGTGATGGACGTTTCTTACCATGTACCAATCATGAGTTGTATTTGAAAATAAAGATTTTTAATGGAAATTGGCCCTTCTGAGTTTTCTGCTTGTAGACACCATCTGTGCTTTCGAGGAGGCTTGTTCCCCTCAGTAAAGAAAACTCATATTTAAAAGGGTGCCCAGAACCAAGAGTTGTAAAGCGGAGTCTGTCACTCCCAGGACATGTCAACATAAAGCCTGTATGTTGCCACTGCTGCCTTGTGACATGATAAAAACCTTTTATTCCCCCCATCCCTCAGGTTTGCCAGTTTTTCTGGATGGCTTTTCAGGAGTTTTCATCATTGTTAAGACTTAAATGTTGGTAAGGAATCAGTCGAGTCAGGTTTCTCAGCCGTGGTCCAGGATGTAGCGACAGCTCTGGGTGGCTTGAGCTGAGGAGACAGATGAGGGAGGTTTCATCCCTTGCAAGCATCTGTTGGACTTGTATCACAAATTCCAAACTGGGCTGTCTTGTGTGTCTGCTGATGCTTAAATCTGAAAAGCCAGACAGGCAAGTTTTTCTATTGGTTAATATTTAAGCCGTGGGTGTCTTCACATTCAAAAGCCGGCTTAGAAGTGAACTGAAATCGCTTCTCGCTGCCAAAACCATCCTCCCTGAGCAAACTTCAAATACAATTCTGGTTGTTTATTGTAAGAAGTAGCTGTTGCCATGCATGTTTTGAAAATACTGCACGAAATAGGTGCAGGTCTCCCCTTCTTTTTCCAAAGGGCACGTGGCCTGAAAGGTTCTGCCATCGCTGCTGTGTCACACACAGTTCACCGCCGAAGACACTGGAGCTGCATGTCTTGGGTCGTACTAAACAGATCTGTTCTCTGTGTTGCTTGGGATTGGGATATCAAGTGGGAAGTCCTGAATTTGCAAACAGCTTTTCAAAAGGAATCTCTAGCAAGGAAAAGTTGGTTATTTCTCCTGTCTGTTGCTAAAACACAGTCCTCTCCCCCCTCGCCTTTTGCATTGACAAATCTTAACGAAGGAGTTGATTGCTTTTATATTTAAATTTGCCCAAATGTTGCTACTGGCTGACATGTCAGTCTGGATGTTTGCATTATGTTGTTTTTCTTTAAGAAATCAGGTTCATCACCTTCAAGGCATCACGGAATTGGCGTCACATCGTACGTCACAAACTATTTTTCAGGGCACTGCAAGACGTTGCTACAACTCAGTGCTGTGTTGGAAAAAATTCAGGTCTTGTATAAACATTACAAGCTATGTTGGAGTTCAGGTATCGGGTGGGCATCTGTGAGAAGAGCAAGTGTATCTCAAAATACTGGACTGCTGTTTTGAGTGGATTATATTCTTCTGTCCCTTTATCCTTTTTGATGAGAACAAAAACAGTGGGGTTATGAAATGTACAAGTTGTCTAAATACAATGCAGTCAAATAAATGGTTAAGTTGTTTATCTATTTCCTTTTGAATGGGAATGTTCTAATGATTGTTTTGCTTTGTCTGCAAAATACAAATACACGTTTGCTCAAGGTCAGGCTGCAGCAACCTGGCCTAGTGGAAGGTGCCCCTGCCCATGGCAGGGGGTTGGAACGAGATGGTTTTTAAGGTCCCTCCCACCCCAAACCATTCCAGGATTCTATGATTAGGAAAGGTGAAAAAAATTTTTGCAAGAGAAAATTGTTTATTGCTATTTGATTGAATCATTTCTGTGCCTGTGTTGGGAGCACCTTGAACATCATTTATCTGAACATCAGTGTCACAGCTGAACTAAAATGGGTCCTTTTAACATGACCATTAAGTCATGACTAACTCGGTCACTCTGGACTCTCCTGGAAGGTAAGGAGTGGGGGGTCACTGTTTCAGTTGCAATAAGCAAGAGTTGAGAACTCTCTCTTAAAAGCATACAGGGGAACCTGTGGATTTTGAAAATCCTTCGTGCTTTATTCCCTCTACCTTTATGTCCAGGCTACTAAAACCTGAGAATTTGCCAGCAAGGTTCATTCATGCCTGGCTGGCTGTGTGAGAGAGGTGTGCAGGTCACTGAAAGCTGTACCCAACTTCTGCTGGAGAGAGCTGGTCATCTACCAGGAGCTCCAGGTCTTTTCTTCCAGTTTGTTTTCTGATTCCTTACAGCTCCCAGTGCCTAAAGGGGCTCCAAGAGAGCTGGAGAGGGACTTTGAACAAGGGCCTGGAGTGACAGGACAAGGGGAGAATGGTTTCAAAGTGACAGAGGGCAGGGTTAGATGGGATATTGTGAAGAAATTCTTCCCTGTGAGGGTGGGGAGGCCCTGGCACAGGTTACCCAGAGAAGCTGTGGCTGGCCCTGGATCCCTAGAAGTGTTCAAGGCCAGGTTGGACAGGGCTTGGAGCAACCTGGGGTAGTGGAAGGGAGGTGTCCCTGCCTGTGGCAGGAGGTGGAACTGGATGGTTGTTAAGATCCCTTCCAACCCAAACCATTCTGTGATTCTGTTATTCTAATGATGATTCTCCAAATGTTTGGCCCTTGGCAGGTGGCTGGAACACATAATCTCCAGGTGGGGGATGCAGATTTAAATTCCAGCTCTGCATCAACCAGAAGTTCCATCCTGGAAATCTGAAATAATCCATCAATGTAAACAACCCAGAGAGCTACAAAAAAATTGTCCAAAATGGTTTTTTGACTTTTGTGATAGTTGTTTTTCCTATTTTCTGCACCAGCTAATGCCTTAATTTTGGGGATTTTCTTAAAAAAAAAAAAAAGGCAAAAGCAGAAAAAATCCATTCTACTGAATTGAACACTTTGGGTGCTGAAGATTGGGAGAAGGTGACAAAGAAAAGACAGTGACTAAATATTGAATATGGAACTTAATATGAAATGGTTTCTACTCAGATACCACCTGCTGCTTCCTTTTTTTTTTTTTTCCTAATAAGATGAAGGATGAAAAAGTGACTCAGCAGCATTGCTAAGGTAAGAAAGACTTATGCAAAGCTGAAATTGTTACTGATATTTAATTACTATAATATAGAAACAGAGAATATTCTGAGTTGGAAGGGACTCAAATGGATCATTGAAGTCCAACTCCTGGACAAATTTTATATTATATTTATTATATTATGCCATGCAGTCCCTTCCACATAGTACTCTGCTAATCCATGCTCTGTCCACGTGGACACACTCCTTTCCATGAGTAATTTAGAGAAGACAACTAATTGAATACTCTCGTGTTGCCACGGCTCCCTCCCCAGGGATGGGAAAGGCTCTTAGTCTAAATCAAAATTTGTCTTTAATATTGGCAAGAAGGAACAAATGAGCCCTCAGAGTTTGATGCATTGGATGAGAGGGGTTGATGTGTCGCTTCTGAGTTGCTCTGAGTGTGCTCCAACCTCCTTGACTCGGAGTAGAAGGGTCTGCTGGAGGAGCTCATTGTGTCGAGAAGAAAACCAGCTGCTCTTCAGCCAAATCAGGGGTGTTCTCCCTCCTCTCCCTCCTTTCCTTCCTCTCCCTCTCCATGCTGATCCGGGGGTCCTGCAGCTTTCCAGGGAAGGAATGGCAGTGTCAGGTTCAGCCCTGGTGCTGCTGGCCAGTGATGCAATTCACCAGAAAAAAGGATTTATTTTTCCCCCCCCCGTTTTTTCACACGAGTACTTGATCCCAAAGCCTCTCGGTGGCCTTAGGTCTGAAGTCTCTCCCTAGGCTGGCACAGAGCTGCATTTTTTACGGCCATAAACTGAGCTTGTTGGGGACGAGTGAGCTGGGCTGTCTGAAAATGTAAACAGCCTCCAGAAGTAAGTAAATTGGGAAGCGGTTCAAGCCACAAATGGCAGTCGGAGCCGTTTTCTGCAAATAGAGATTTTTATCTCACTGCCTGAGAGTGACAGTCAAAGGACTGCTCTCTTGGGGCTGGAAAAGGAGTTCTTCGTTACAGGAAACGGGCCTGGATATGATTAAAAAAGAGAAAGTGTTCTCCTTGGAGGTTTTTTTTTTTTGTTGCTGTTGTTTTATCGGAGGAAAAATTGCAAAGCAGGCGATTCCCTGTCAATGAACCAGCCACTGCTCCAGTGGTTTCATTTCTAACCTGACAAATGGAATATGTAGAGGACCTTTACAGAGGTGCTGTCTTGCATTGGGCTGCTCTGGGGTCCCAGTACTCTCAGCCCTCTGTACTCTGTCAAAATAGGCCAAAAATATAATTATTGACATGTCAAATTTCAATATTTTGGCTCTGTCTGTGTGGAAATAGCTTTTCTCTCTCTTTAATAGGAATTCTGTAGCTCTCTGTGAGATTCTTTTGCAGTATACTGCGTGTCCTTGGAAAGTCCTTCGGAAGAAGTACCCTCAGAAAACTTTTCCAGCCTCAAAATCCCAGGAACATTTTAAAACCTACAGAAAGAGCCCTTTTTCTCTCGCAGATCCTGGGAGTGACTTTCCCATTTTTTTGCTCACCAGCTAAAGAGCTTAGTAAATGCTTCCAAGCGTGGAAATAAAAAAAAAAAATCAAAGATCTGGAAAAACATTTTTAAAATATCTTTTTAATGATCTTTTGCCAGCTTCATCCCTCTTCCACCCCTGCTCCAGCTTGGCAAACTTTTATTTTCGCTCTGTTTTGACGTCGAAAGAAGGTATTACTGTGGGGAAGTTTTCTTGGCTAAATAGTTTCCAGGGAGATTTAAATTTCTTTAAGCTGCAAATGTCTAATCCTTGAAACTCAGAGATTTTCTGAGGTTTCTTCTGGTTGTATCCAGGCCCAAAACATCCTTCTGTCAGTGTCCATCAGAAATCCAGTGGGATTGGTGGGGCCGGATTACACGGAGTTGCTTCCAAAGTATTCCCTGTTGTCTGCTGGTGCTTTTGGAAGTTCTCTCTGTGTCTGTGCAGGGACAGATCCCTGCAGACAGTGCAGTGAGCACCCATCCCACCTCATCCATGGGCAAGGAGCTTGGGACAGCTGTGCATTCACTGGGATGCAGTTGGCACCAGACAGCAGGTTCAGGGCAGGTAGGAAAGAACTGCAGTGCTCAGGCAGGGAGGAAAAGGGACAAACTGAGTCAGGAGAGGCTGGGTGTGCTGGAATCCTTTGGATACACGAACTCTGGAAATCAGAACTGCTTCTTCAGAGGCAGGTGCTGTCATCACACCCTTGGAGTACATGGATTGCCTGAGTCTTGTACAGTTTGGAGGCTTGGGACGTGCTGTGGGGGTGTATCCTCAGGAAACCCACAAGAAAAAAAAATCAATTCTGTGATTATGTGACTTAAACCAGGAGCTGTGTGCTCAAAACACAGGGTCACATGGTGGGATAAATGCAGGAAAAAGGGCAAAGCAAGGATTTGGTTTGGGAGTTACCATTTATCAGCACTTGGGTATTACAGGAGCCTGACCTCAGGGACTTGGGCCAAAGCAGTTTTTGCTGGGGACTTTATGCAGCCACAGGGATTAATCCTTAAAGCTGGTCCTGACACAGGATGGGGCCTCTGACTCCTGTGGCTCAGCTGGGACTTGAGGCTTAGACCACCTCACTTTGCCAAACAGAAACCAAATTTTTCTTTAAAACTGGGACTTGAGGGGAAAATGATGAACCACAGCAGGTTCCAGCTAAGAAAACAGTAGTAGAGCAACCCATCCTTTAGTGGTCTCCTGAAATAGCAGCTACATCAGAAGCTGCCTCAGCCCAGGCAACTCTCTGAAGCCTTTCTGGACCAAGCAATAGCTTTAGTTGGCACTTTTAAATCCCTGCTCCCGTCGCAGCCGTCCTGGCTGTCACCCTGCCCTGGGATGTGGCTGCACAAAGAGCAGAAGGACCCTCTGGCCTTGAAATTACACCCACAGTCATATCCCCACATTGGGTTTTTTTTGGCCAGTTTCCCCATTTATTCCTGTTTTACAGCAGGAGATTTCTCCAATTTTCCTACAGAGCCAGGTACTGAAGGTGTTGCAGCAGGGATGGGGAGTAGGGTTGGCATTGGTTGGGCTGTAAACATGTGGGTACAGGGCTGGGGGCTTCAG